AGCAGAAGTCTCGCGATGATAAAAGATGGCCTGCCAAGCTCTCGCCAGGCGCGGGCAAGCGAATTGTCCTCTTTCCTCGCTCGCTCGTTCGCGAGCTAGCTAACGCGCGTGCGCGCGCGCGCGCGCGATCCCGTCGATCGGTCCAGAGCGCGACTCAGCGGCGTCCCGCGAGCGAGAAGAATTCCGTTCGAGTTTCGAGAACGGCGACCTATTAGAGAACAAAGCGCTGCTCTTTGCGAGATAACTACGGGATGTGGTATACTAGGTGTATATATCTATATATCTATATATATATATATATATACCCTCTCGCGCCTCTCTCAACTGCGAGAGATGCAGCGGTGTGACCTTTAACTGTACCTGCATGCCGCAACACGCTCACCTGTATTCTAGCGCAATCGCGCGCCGGCCGGACCGCGCTCGCGCTCGCTCGCGAGCCGAATGCGCGCGGCGACTAATGCGAGCCAACGTGCCCGCATTCCGCTCAGCTCCGGCCGATTAGCGGAGAATGCACCTTCCTCGCTGTTATTGCACCTAGTGGCATATTTACCCCTGGCGAGCGACGGCCGATTAAGAGGCCGATTAATCGCACGCTATACGTCACGAAATCGCTCGAGTCTCCAGAATGAAGTGGGGAAGGAGTGACTTTGGGTTGAAGGTGGCTTCAGATGGCTTCAGGAGATGACGAGGATGGCATGCGACTTTTTGCCGGCGGCGGAAGCGCGAGAGCGAGGGCTTTCGCGGAGTCTCTACGCGGAGAAGGAGGAGGAGGAGGAGGAGGAGGAGGTGGAGGAGGAGGGTCAGTTGGACCGACGCGGCGATGAACGAAGCAGTCGTCGTGTGTCGGGGGGAGGAGGATTTCTGCTTCTCAGAAGCGAATTTCATACACGACGACCAGAAATTCCGTCTCGCTCATCGGTTCGCCGAGATTCGAGCAATCTCCTTTCTCCGCGCTTCTCGTTCGGAGGATCACACGAGATCGCTGACGAGGCGTCGAGTTCGCGTGCGAGCCGTCCGCTCCTCGCGCTTCCGCTCTTAAGAGGAAGAAAAAAGGAGTCTCTCATGCTCGCCACCTCGGGGCTACCCACGAGCCGCAGGCTCCTCACTTTGGGCGCGACCTCGTCTCCGAGAAGTGCACCTTACAAATTACCGGCTCGACCCTTTCTAAACTCTCTTACATACACACACACACACACACACACACACACCGCCCGCCTGCGGCTCGCGTCGAACGTTGCCTCCACGACCCGACTTCGCGAATTCGATCGCGAGCCGAGATCTCCGCTGCGCTCGCGATGCGCGAGCGCGAGCGCGTGCAGGCAAAGGGATCACCGAGAAGGAGAGAGACAGAAAGAGAGATAGAGAGGGAGGGAGGGAGGGAGGGAGGGAGGGAGGAAGAGAGAGAGAGGAAGAGAAAGGAGACGGAGAGGGCTCGCGCGAGGGAGGGCGAACAACGCACCGGAGAGGAGAGGAGAAGAAAGAACTCGATAGCTGAGAGATACACCCACGCATCCTCCTAGCTCGTTTCCCCGTCCCTCTCGCGCGCGCTCTACGGAGACGACCCTAACCGGTCTTCGCCGCCGCCTTGCGCCGCGCCGGACCGGGCCAGGCTGAGAGTCGAGTTGCATCGCGCCACGCGACGCACGGGGAACCACCGCGGAGGAACGGTACTACCACCACGAGCACCATCCATTCACGGTATCGCGCGTTCGTGAGAATTCCACCCGCGGATCCGCGGCGAGCGAGCGAGCGAGCGAGCGAGCGCATGCGCGCGCGCGCCTACCTCGGCAAGGCGAACGAGAGAAAGAGAAAGAGAGAGAGAGAGGAAGAGAGAGAGAGAGAGAGAGAGAGAGAGAGAAGCGAGCGCGGCTGCCTGCTTTTCGGCCGAGTTTCCCTTCTCGCACCTCGCAGCCGCGCCACACCGCTCGACGGAGAGCACAGACTCTATATATAAACTAGACTGAGAACTTCCATTGGTTTTCATGCATAAAAATGACTCTTATATAAAACATAAAATCGTGCGCGCATGCGTATTGCAAGATCCCGTTGGTACTCTATATGTTGAATGAACATTGAATGTGTCATGGAATGTGACATTGCAAGAGGAAGGCATTAAATATTGGATAAATATTAACATTTCCTGGAGTAAAAATGCTTGTACGGTGCAGTTATATTCCTTTCGGGACCTTGCAATGCGCATACGCGGGATTTTAGTACATACTTTTAGGGGACGTGTTAAAGAGACAAGTTAGTCAATCTAGTGTATAATATAGAAGTCTGTATCAGGAAACGCTTTCGACGAGTTGACGCGGGCCCGAAAGAGGACGCGCCACGCGACGACAAGAGGGATATTTCCGTTTCCGTTCTCGCGAACGGGATATTCGAGTTGGCGCGATTGACGCGTTGTCTGCGCTGCGTGCGGAATTTCGCCGCTGCGGCGAGAAACGGGAGAAATCCGTTTCCTCGGCCGATTGGTGAATTTCGCGTGGACCGAGGTGGATTTGCAAAGCAAATCCGACGACTGACGAATTGGATCGCGTCGACTCACGGCGACTGACGAATTCGACAGCGGCTCGTTAATTCGGCTCGTCAGGCTCGGTTGTTATGGGCGATCTAACGAGATCCGTTATCCCGCGGTCGATCGAGCGATCGAACGTTATTAATCCGATGACCGGCGAGCTTCGCAGTTAATTAGCGGAATCTCGTCGATATCGAAAAATTCGCCGGCCTGTACACGGACCTCACGCGCGCGCGCGCACGCCGGATTCGCGTCCGGATGGACGGAGGGCACAGCGTTAATTGCGCGCTAATTAACGGACTCGACCGGCCGGGTCGTTAATTGAACCGAAGCCTCCTCGACCGATACCGCGTCGACACGCGTGTCCGAAACGAAAGTCGCGACATCGCGCAAGCGACGCTGCTGCTTCGTCTTCGGCGGAATCTCGAGCGCAACCTTCGGAGGAGGAAACGTGATTTCGTGCGACTGTGAGGAAAAAAGTCCGCACAGGTAGCGCACGCAGTGTCCTATCTTTCAATAGCGGCCAATAAGTGTCGGGTCCATTAAAATTTTATTCCTGCCGATGGCCGGATGGACGCGTTTCTCGCGTGGGAGGGAGCTCGCCATCCTCGGCGAAAAATCGCTCAACATCCTCGTCGCTGGCCCGGCGCGCGCGAAAGAGAGAGAGAGAGAGGGGGGCGACGCATCCAGTCGATCGCAGCCGGGCGACACCTATGAGAGCCTCCGAGCGTCCCCGTTAATTTCGGATCACTTTCACCGGCACGCGCGCGCGTGTGTGTGTGTATATGTCGCGCGAGCTCCAGCGAGTTGCTTTCCAAATACGCTCCCTCTAGCCCTACTTTGCTCCAGATTTCTTCGTCGGGTCTCTCGCCGGTGCTTTCTCGCGCGCGCTCTATTAGCGTCGCATACGATTAGCGATAACGCCGCGATTAATCACATACCGAGAGTCGCCGGCCGCGCCGGGAAGATTCCGAAAACCGGGGGAGAGAGGGAGAGAGAGAGAGGGAGAGAGAGAGAGAGAGAGAGAGAGAGAGGGAGAGAGAGAAACGGCGACGCACGTCCGCCAATGGACGCGGGGGGATGCGAGGGGGGCGGGGGAGAATTTAATCGGAGTATGCAGTAAAAGTTGTATCTCCCGGCTGGGAAGTCCCGCTCGCGCATGCATTATTCATGGCACCGGCGTCCATGTTATATCGCGCGCGCACGTTAATTGTCACGTCGCGTTATCAAAGCGAAACGAATCGCGCGCAATTTTCGAGCGAGTCTCTGAGTCGCCAACACCGTCGTCGCTCTCCGGCACGGCGCCGGCCGCCGCCGAGGATTCATTCACGAGTCCGACCGACCGACCGAGCGAGCGTGGCTCGGGGGGCCACGTGCCCCTCCCCCCTCTCCGGAGGAGCGTGTTCTCTCCGCCGTCGCCGTGTGCGGCCGTACACAAATTGAAATATCCTCGCGAGCCGATCGCGCTGCGGATCCGTAACCGGCAACTCACCGGACACGCCGGAATCGCGGAAGACGAGGAGGAGGAGGAGGAGGAGGAGGAGGAGGAGGAGGAGGAGGAGGAGGAGGAGGAGGAGGAGGAGGAGGAGGAGGGGGAGGAGGGGGAGGAGGAGGAGGAGGAGGAGGAGGAGGAGGAAAGTCTCGCTGCTGCCCGGCTTTCGTCTGCGTGACGCGCGACCGCCGGCTCCGATCGATTCCAGCCGATGACACGGCTCTTTAGCGCAAAAAGCAGCCGAGCCGTATCAATTCGAAAGTGGTATACATCGCACTTAAGATGCCTCCGGCTTGCATTCCGCGAGAGACTGCCGCGTAGGCACGTGTGCGGGAAGCACATATCTCTCTCTCTCTCTCTCTCTCTCTCTCTCTCTCTCGCTCGCGTGCGGGCTCCGACGCGTGTGGGAACCAGCATGCGTGTTCGTCCAGGTAGCCGCGCGCGGTCGTGTTGGTGCACACCGACGTCGTCGGTGTGTTGGCGGAGCTTGGACGCGGATAGGATGTGGGTCGAGCGCTAGCACCGCTCTACGAGCTGCGCCGGAGAGTCCGCATACCACCGTCGAGCTTCGTGCGTCCCTTGTACGTTTACATATGATAGAAGCGCCTTTGCGCGACACCGCGCGCGAGGTGCTCGCGCAAAGGTGCTCGTGGAGAAACGCGGTGGAGATGGGAGAACGAGGAAGAGAGCGAGAGCGAGAACGAGAGAGAGAAAAAGAAAGGGAGAGAGAGAGAGGGAGGGAGGGAGGGAGGGAGGGAGGGAGGGAGGGAGGGAGGGAGGGAGGAAGAGACTCAGGACCGCGCCCTGCCCACGCCGTCGGAGTGCTCGACCTCGCGCTTTCAAACTCTTCGTCTCGCTCCGTAGATGAGCTACATACCTAATTACCGGAGAATACACACGGTGGCCCCTCCCCTTAATTCTAGCGGCCGCAGGCTCGCGCGCGTTCACGGCGACGTACGTGATTCGCTGAAATGCGAATTTCTCACTCACCGGTGTGTATCCGCTGGTGAGCCTTCAGGTGCGAGCTCTTCGTGTAGACTTTCGTACAACCTGCGAAAGGGAGCGGAGAGTTAAGTGTCGAAATTGCCGGAGCGGGATCTCCCCGGTCGTCCCGGGCTCTCTCTCTCTCTCTCTTTCTCTCTCTCTCTCTCTCTCTCTCTCTCTCTCTCTCGACTGCCGAGCCTCGGCGAGGGGGAGGCCGACTCGCCGGGGCTCGTCAACGTCGTCGTCGTCGTGGTCGCTCGCGACGAGTAGCGGTAGCTCGTCCCGTTCAACTCCGGAGCGAATTACGTGATCATAATTGCGAGCCGAATTACTCGCGAGCTTCTGCGCGCGGTAATCACGCCGGCCACGACGAGAGCCGAAATGACAGCACCTGAGACACTCCACGTCAACTTCAACGATGGAGGTCCCGGCGAATTCACGATTGTCTTCGTTATATTTTTATCTGTCAGATCAAAGTGCGTAACGAAGGACCGATCTTTCGACACTGCCAACTGTCGCGCATCGGGGGGGTCGCTCTTGTCATAACCGACTATCAGCTATTTGTGGCCGTTTGAGGCGCTAACTCGGTTGGTAAAAACGCGTGAAGGCCGTTTCGCAAACGAGTAAGCACTTCATAGACCTCAAAACACAAACCGAGCGCTCGGCACAAGAGGCCGCGGAGACTAGAGATGGGCTATTCTCGTCGATTAATCGAAAGAATCGATAATTTTTTTTTTTCAATTAATCGATGTTTTCTGATGATTTTCTTTTTATTTTCGATTAATCGATGTTTGATGATTTTTTCTCAACATCAACAACCGATTTTTATTTTTTTTTAATAGAGGATCTTTGTAATATCGTCTTTCAAGTACGGTAAACGAAATTCATGAACGTTAAGTCCGGATCTACGATAAGTATAGTAAGCTTTAAGTCTTGAGAAATTGGCCAATCGCAATCAATTATTCTTGTAAAAGTAGGTTGGGATTGGTTAATTTCTTAAAGTTTAAAATTTACTACATCTATTGTACAATTATGGAGAATAGAGTTGTCCGGTTTTTATTTATAAGCTTCGGAACGTTGCCGAATGGCTCAATAAGAGTACTTATCTTCCCAAAATTAGCTCTCTTATCACATGAAAAATGCGTCAAATGAGATGCCGAGTTGAAGGCCTCGCACACTGATGCGATTAGCGACGAATAATAAACTCCAATGAGAGTTCTGTTTTAAAGAAGAAACGAAAGCTCTTTCTTCTTAAAACTCTTATTAGATATCGCTATGGTCGCGTCCAGTGTGCAAGATCCTTTCGATTTCGAGGATTTCTGGTAATACCGCGAATACCGCGTATTCCATCCTTGTTTAACATTCAGTGAAAAATAAGAATTGAATAACGCCGGCTACATCTATTGCGAATTTAAGAACGCATCCAACATGTAAGCAAGGAGAGCATCCGAGTGATGTTTCCGAACGCATCCCTAGCAGTGTTTCATTTGGTGCTAACCAATTTAAATGTTTAATTTAAATGTTCAATTTAATCGGTTGATCGGTAAATCGATTTTTTTTTTCAGAAAATAATCGATGTCATTTCAATTATTTTTTATTAATCGATATTTTAAACATCGATATATTTTCGGACATCGCCCATCCCTAGCTGAGACCGCCTCTCCGAGAAGCCCGTGATGCATTCGACTTTTGCCTAACTTCATTCTTATGGGAGAAAACTCAGACAAAGATGGCGTATGTGTCGACAGTGGAGAAGGAATTTTGAAAGTTTCTTTGAGAAATGAAAATGGTGGAGCGAACTTGAATTGAGAATATTTTACCGTTCTTTGCGACGAATGTAGTGTCGACTTGGAAAGGACATTGCGATATCTGAGAGAGACCTTACGCAGATATCGTCGGCGATCTAGCCGTTGCTCGGCTTATATCGTATTCAAGTTGAATCGACATACGCATATATCGATTCGACTTGGCCGTCATGCCGATTGGATCATCGATAATCGATCAACACCTGTACGATCTCTCTGAGATATCAAATGGACGCCTAGGTATCTAAGCCACATCGACATGATATGGCTCATGAAACTGGAGTTCTAGGTCGTAATCAAGAAGATCGACACGATATCGATGAGATGCCGGATTCGCAGTCAATGCGAAGGCCTCAAATTTTCCTCACACAGGAAGGCGCGTACGCGAATCTACAATGTATACCCCTTAGAGAAAGGTATTACTGACTGTAACAAATTGCTGTCGCTTACAAATCTTAGTACTCGTATATGAATAATTGAATTTAAATTACTTATCTCTTTCAAATGAAAATTTTAAGTGATTTAATTGAATTTTAATTGAACTCAATTCACATATTAAATATACGTCTAGTTTCAATTAAAAATTATATGCAAACTTAAATAAATAGTTTAAATAAATAGTAGCCTATATATATGTGAATAATTGATTTTAAATAAGTAATTTAATTTAAATTACCCGTTCAAATCAAAATTTTAAGTAATTTAATTGAATTATGAACTCAGCTGAATTAAATATAAATTTAAATTTCAATTAAAAATGATATGAAAATTTAAATAAACGGTAGCCTATATGAGTAACTCGAATTTAACTAAATAATTTAATTTAAATTATTCGTTTAAGTTAAAAACAATTCAATTCAATTAAATGTAGGTTTCAGTTTAAAATTATATGAGGATTTAAATAAATAATTTAAATAAATAGTAGCGTGTATGAATTATGGAATTTAAATGAATAATTTAATTTAAATTGTTCGTTCAAGTTAAAATTTTAAGCGATTTAATTAAATTTTACTCGAATTCGATCCAATTTTTAATGTAAGTCTAAATTTCAACTAAAAATTATACGCAGATTTAAATAAATTCAAATTGCTGCACGACGATAAAATTTATGACTGGCTAATTTATCACAGCCAGTAATTCTCCAAAAGGGATCCTCTACAAGCAATTCTCTACAATCTTTTATACAAGGGACCAACTATAAAAGAAGAAGAGGAAGGAAAAGAAAAGCGCGAGTACTCGCCTATGAAGTCGCAGTGGTGCACCCGGCGCTTCTCCAGTTCCGGATTGTTCCGCCTGTTGAACTTGGTCGTCATCGACGGCGGCTGGATCCTGTGCGCCGGGTTGAGGATCGGCGGCTGCGGGTACGGGGGTGGCGGCGTCCGCCTCGGTGGACCGGCGCCAATGGGCGAGCCGGGGTCGGAGATCGGTGGCGTCAGCGGCGAAATATACATCAGCCTCGTCATCGAGCCGTAGAGCGGCGACGTCGCGTTGCCGCTCGCCTGATGACCGCCGGCGGTGGCGTGATGACTCGTCGTCGAGTCATTGTTGCCGCCACCGCCGCCACTGGCGTTGTTGTTGTTGCTGTTGTTGCCGTTGGCGGCAGCGTTGACGGCGTTGCTGCCGGCGTTGCCGCCGGCGTTGCCGCCGTTCGCGCTGCTGCCGTTGACGCTGCCGTTGTTGTTGTTGTTATTGTTGTTGTTGTTGTTGTTGCTACTGTTATTGTTATTGTTGTTATTGTTGTTGTTGTTAGCGTAACTCTTGAAGAGCGCCGTCGTCGGCGTCGTCCGATGATGGACCACGTGCTGGACGCTCGGCGGGTTGGGGTGCGCGCTGGAAAAGGTCTGTGCGCTGGGGTTCGTCGCGGGCCCCTCGAGGAGATGCAAGGTCGGCGGCGGCGGCAACGGCTCCGTCTTGATCTCCACCGGCGACAGCACCGGCGGCGGCGTCACCTCGTCCGTCTCCATCTTCACGTGGGGTTGCGAGCCGAGCATGTCCGCGTTTTCCGGGTCCAGCTTCTGGATGCTCGACGTGATGTCCTCCCAGAGCGGCGGCCTGAGGAACACGTCGTCGTCGGTGCCAGCCGGCTGACTCCTGGCGGAGACGAAGCTCGCCTGCGGCCGGCATACCGGCCCGCCGACCTCGAAGAAGTCCTCCATGTGCACCGACTGCTCCCGCACGTCCCTCTCCGACTCATCTTCGTCCAGCTTCTGTAGACGGTCGAGATCTTGCCTGCACAACAGAGTGTCCAGGTCCGACGTCTGCTGGAACAGAAGAAGAGGAACTTTTGTGTCGCTTTTTATTGCTACTCTTGTGCGCAATTTAATTATCATGTGTATTAGGTGTATAAATTAATTATCGGCCCCTACATCAGATCGACCAGATCACCTGCACCTTCAAGTTGCACTTTTTTTCCCGCTGAACGGTCGTTTTAAAGCGCCATCTCTATAAGCTTTAAAACGAGCTACGTATAATAGTTGATGGTACTATTGATATAACCTCAAGAAACAACAGTAAAAACAATGTTTTTAGAAAATAAATTCGTTTACATAAAATTTTTAGTAATAATATATATTTCAAAATCATTATCTGGTGGTTTTTGGGGTCGCTGAGTAAAAATCCGGTGTAAAAAATACAAAATTCAAAATGGCGGACCCAATATGGTAGACGGAATTTTCAAAATCAGTCGAAATTCGCAGTCGAAAAACTCCGAGTAACAAGTCGAAACTTGTTACTCGGAGTTGCTTTTGAAGTCGCTGAATACGAATCCGGGATGAAAAATACAAAATTCAAAATCATGGACCTCATATGGCGAGCATAATTATAGAAATGAAACAAGCTGACTGCGCTTGAGAATCGGATAACTTGACCGGTGTCAACCGAATCTTGCCGTATATATCATCGTCATAGCTCTGGCATTTCGGATTTTCGATAACGAATTTGTAATTAGCAACCTTACAATACAAAAATCCTTAAGTAACCAAATTTCAAGTGAACTCGGCTGATTTTGAAAATTCTGTTCGCCATATTGGATTCGCCATTTTGAATTTTATATTTTTCACATCGGATTTATACTCAGCGACTCTAAAAACCGCCGAGTAAAAGGCTTACAAAATTATATTCATTAAAAAAAAAATGTACAACAAAGGGTTAATTTATACACATTAATTATACACTTTACATTAATTATACATTAATTATACACATTAATACATTAATAGCACATAATTTTCTTATGTGTATATATGTTTATTTTTTTATTATATTTTATTCATCTCATCTCGTACGTATAAAACTTTTAAGCATCAATAAGAGCTACAACTGATAATAACATAATCGTTGAAATCTCTTTCTCCGTCTCTTCTTCTTCCTCATCTTCTTTTTCCCGTGTTCGTCCTCCTCCCCGAGTGCCGTGTTTCTCTCGTTCGATGCCACTTCGCCTCGATACAGCAACAATAATAATAATTATTATAATTAATGCCGCGAACGAGACGCGTATACCGAGGAAGGGACGGAGGGCGAGTGACTTGCGGTATGGTGATACGCGCGTAGAAGGTCCCCGTGTCGGGGCCCCGTTAACATGCAACGCCCTACGACGTCCAGCACACGCGAGGTGGAGCGACGGAAGAACGAACGCGGGAGGCTGGCGGTGCCGCGTCATCCTTCGCATGATTTGTACACGAGCAACGCCGCCCTCGCGCGTCCGATGGTACACCGCTCGCTTGCTCGCTTCTTCACCCTTCGCTCCCCCCCCACCCCACTCTCCCTCTCTCTGCTTGTCTCTTCTCTGCTCGAGACGGCGAGTGCCACCTCGGTGTACAGCACACGCCTGGTGCATAACATTCGGCATGCTTGTACAAGGACCCCTCTCGGCCCGTCGATGGTCAGCGTCGATATTGTTCTCGCGCCGGAAATGTAAGCGCCGAGAAGGGGTTGAAAGAGTTACGGCATCGACTCGATCTTTACGACGCCCTGACACACTCGTCGGAGTCTCCGCGCTCGAGCCGAGCCGAGATTGTGCGCGTCTCGTCGACGCCGGAAATGCGCCGGTGAATCTCTGGTGGGTCGAGGGGAGACTTCAAGACTCCCGTCGAAGTCTCCTGGTCGAGAGGACAAGCCTCCGTCAACCGATAGAACTTTTGTACGACGTGATGCGTCGTCCCTGTATTTGTGCTTTTTCGTCCTTTTCGTGCAAAGAGAATTCCCCGCCATGTTGACAAAATAATAATGATGACAATGTAAAAGTTTGGACGCGAGTAATTTTGTCAACTTTTGCCTTTTTCGGGCAAAGGGAACTTTCCCCATATTGATGAAATAATAATAATAACAATAACAATAATGTAAAAATTTGGATAGTATCGGAGATACTATCGGAGATACTCATAGTTCGGAGAGAAGCAATATGTTGCTCTCTAAATTAATTCAACTCGCTTGATCCATACTGCGAGCGTCGAGAATTCCTTGTCGGCGAAGAAGGAGGAGGGGGAAGAGCTGGTCGATCCTTCGAATCTCGACCGATCGTCATCGGTCTTCGACGGACGAGAGAGAGAGAGAGAGAGAGAGAGAGAGAGAGAGAGAGAGAGAGAGAGAGAGAGAGAGAAAGAGACGTCCGTAATGATTCGTTGAAAAATTTCGCCTGGCACTTTTGAGCTTTCGATCGGGGCTGCTCGGCCGGCTCTGCGCATGCGCGCGCGCTCAGCCCGGCGATTTATGAATTATTTACACAATGAATAATTCATCGTCGGAAGATTGGTACACTCGCGACACGCTCGATCGTGCCTGATATGCAATTTGAAAAGGGAGTTTGCGGGCTCGATGCGGCCTCGGAACATTATACTTAAATCCGCCGTAAATCGCGGACGTATCGCGCTCACGCTCGCGTCGTCGTGTCGACGAACGATAGCGCCGCGCGGCCGATCGCGCGGAGGGTATCGATTTTACGAGCGGCGAAAGGGCAGGCCGGGGGAATTTACTTTCGCGAGCGCGCGAAGAAAGGGAGAGTCGCGGCCAGGCCCGGGACTCACTCGAGAGAGGGACTTGCGGCCCCTATCATCTTGCTGATTTCAGTCCCGCCGAGACGCCGCAACGCGAGAGCGCGGTGGAAATTCTACGTCGTTCCCCCCCGCGCTCCGCATCCGCGGACGCGTTTTCACGACACGAACGCGACGAGGGACTGACTCTCCCCGCTCGTGAGCGATCGTGAACGGTTACGCGAGCGATCGGTAATTTGGAGATCGCTTATCGTCCGGGAAACGAGGTCCGGAACGCAAGGTGGACACCCGGCTGGCCGGGCCGGGCCGTGTCGAACACGCGACTCGCGGCGCTGTAAATAAATTTTATAGCGCGTGTCCCCCGTATCTCTGTCTCCCCCGTCTGTCTCTATTTTGGACTTTATTCTCTCGTAAATTAACGTCGCGAACGAGTCGACAGCGCCGGCTAATTCGAGTTCGCTCGGAACGCGACTCCCTCGAACGCCGCTTTAGCGTACGCTGGAACGCGTTATTGAGCGGTTCCGTTGGAAATCCCGCGGAAATCCGCGAGCAAGAGGAAGAAATGTCCTGCGACGAGAAGCTCGACCGAAGTCTCGCGACGAATGAGCGAGCCAGACACGTTTCGCTCGTCGAGGCTTCGACGAAGCGCCGGATTCGCCGGCGAAGCGAATTCGGCTCTGAGCAGATTGGAATTTTTATTTATTTGTTAATAATTTATTAATAATATTATTTGATAATAATAATATTATTATATTATATTATTAATAATATAATTTATTAATAATAATAATTTATTATTAATAATTTTCAGGGAAATTTCGGAACTTTCAGGGAAGGTCGTTTCCTTCAGGGAAATTTAGTGGCTGAGAATTAATTTGGACTAATGAGAACATCGCGCAAGGATGCAAACAATTGTTTCGGCGAGATAATAATGAGAATAATGTTTAGAGCTTGTTTGGAGAGAAATGGAACAAACACACCTCGCCCTAAATCAATTTAGTTCGATTTAATTCAATGAACTTACTTAATCTGCTTTAAGCGTTTTCTTCTTAAATAAAATGCAAAATGCATCGCGTATCGAATATACTCCTGTCGATGGCCGTCGTGAACGCTACTGATTATTCGAGGTTCGATGTGCGTCAAACGCCAAACCATATGTCATTTCGAAAAGTTAAATGTCAACACTTTATAACCGCAAAGGAGCGGGAGAATATTTCAATTTCGAATTTTGCTCTGAACCATGTAAAAATTTCATCGAAAAGAAATAATTACTGGAACTAATATCAAACGGGCCGACATTTTTCCTCAGTCTTAAGCACGTGCGACGATTAGCAATTAGCCGATGGTTTTTGGTTTAATTGACGCGCTATATATTATATCACATATTACTCAGGCCGGTTAGACGCGAGGTCGATGTTTTATTTTATATGTGGTGTTGCGAAAAAAATTCCGCTCCAGCCAGGAGATCGATTGATAACTAAGAAATAATATTCTTAAAGGAATGATATCTTTAAAGTGGGTAACAAACTTCAAAAATTGTCGATAACGTTGAGAAAATCGTCCAAACGTTGCGTTAAATGACACAATCATGTCGTCCTCGGAGAAAAAATGATTTTTCCGCATTTCCTATATACAATGCATAATTTTTAATAAATAAATGTTCGCCGCGCTCTGTTTAATCCCAAACACTCCGCGATATTTCCATCGTCACCGTTTTTGAGCCACTCTTTCTCCGCGGTTATTTCGTTAATCGCCGAAGAGGTTAACCATATTCTTTATTCAAAACCTAACCATATATAGATATATAGGAATTTTCTGCAAAATTTTTAAGAGCTTCCATATTCAGTTGTCAATGTTTTGTTTGTCAATAACAATGTTTCGGGAAATTTCCGTCGAGCCGTCGAATCAAGTAAATCTTTACACTAGCTGGCAGCTCGAGATGCCAACTTGAGAATGTTTTCTCGTTTTCGTCACCGTATTGAGCAATGTTTCGATTCATTTTCGCACACACACACACACACATATACAGATTCGTCGTATAGAAGCATCGTCATTCTTCTGCAACCAACAGAGAACGCAAGCTTTGCAGAAGAAGTCAGCGGCGAGAGTTCTGTCAGCAAAGTTTCCGAGTATGGCATCCCTCAGATACCGTCCGCTCAATTACTTTCTCCGCGTTCGCTGCATCATCGGTTGCGCCTCGTTGCATAATTCCTCCCGCAAATGGCTAAAACGATACGCCTCTAATTCCGCCCAAATAAAGCGCCCAAATA